GTTTATGAGTTCGAGGCCCATGTCAGGCTCTGCACTGACAGTGTGGAGCCTGTTTGGGATTCTCTCTTTCTCTCCCCATCTCTCTGTCCCTCCCCTGATCTCTTTCTCTCTTTCCCCCCTCTCAAAATACATAAACTTAAAATTAAAAAAAAAAATTCTATGAGATCTGCAAAACTCTATCAGTGAATTCTGCCTCTGGGTTAGAGTAATCAAGCCAGTGCTGAAGGGAAACACCAACTGGGAACCAGTTAGTCTACTACCCCCATGAGAAATGGAAACTGTCAAACAATATAAATTGCCTTAGGGCCTAAGAACCTAGGAAAAACTGTCCAAAAACTGCACCAAAGGGGTATTTTGCACTCTGCCGATAGCACTTTCGATAGACCTGTATGGTCAGTGAAAAGTCGGATGGTTCATGGAGGATGACTGTGAAGTACTGAGAATTGAAGAAGGTAGTGCCCCCCATCCCTGCAGCTGTGCCCAACATTGCCACCATCTTAGATACATGGCTATGATCCTAGGAGTGTTCTATGTTGGGCTGGACTTAACAAGTACTATTAAGTACTTTCTTTTTTTTTTTTTTTTGGGGGATGAGTACTTGGGCCCACACGGACCAGAGGTGTTTTATTAAGTGTGGAAGAGAGGAAGGGAGAAAAGGGCAGTTGTGCCCCACAGAGAAAAAAAGCCCAGGAGCTTCCGGGTGCTGCCAGGGAGCCTCTCTGAGCTCTGACCCCTGCAGCCCCACCCTGTCTTCTTGGAGGGTTGTGGAGTCAGTGGACCTGATAGGCCAGGTCCAGGTAGGCAAGGATGAGGCTCTCAACCAGCTAGGTACAGTCCAGTGGTGGGAAGGCAGCCAAGGGTACTGACCCATGAGGCCCTACACAGCAATGGAGCCATCTCGGAAGTCTGGCTGATGAATCACAAGATCAGTTTGCCTTCACATGGGAAGTTTAACAATGGACTTTTCAAATGCTTTCCCAGGTAAACCTGCAAAGTTCCACCATATGTCATGAGGCCTGTCCCTGTTCTCCTTCCCCACATCAGTAAAATGGGCCCATTACATCGATGATATAATGTTAACATGTGAAGACTTACCTTTGCCATAGGGCATTCTGCAGGCTTTGCTGGAAAATATGTGAGGGAGAAAATAGGTCATGAGATCCCGAAAAGTTCAAGGCTGAGACACCACATAAAGTTTTTGGAAGTCATATGGTCAGGTAAGACATGCATTGTCCCAGGAGCTATGATTGACAAACAACATACAAGCCTACCCAACCCCTAGAAGCACAAAAGAGTTGCAAGCTTTTGAAGGAATTTGGGGGTTTTGGAGGAGTTTTATTACCCACCTGGCATGGTGTCTCCATCCCTTGTACCACTTGGTAAAGAAAAAGCAAATGTGAGATTGGTGATTGAAGCAGCAAGCCACCTTTGGGAGGGCAAAGGAACTAATGAAACACTCTGGGAATCCCCCAAGCAGGGCTACCACTTGAGTTGATGTGTCTGTGACTCTGAAAGGCATGGGTTGGGCACTGTGGCAGAGACAATAGAAGGAGAGAGTACTCCTAGGATTTTGGTCCCAGCTCAGAAATCTGATGCACCCCCAACAGCTCCTAGTGGTGTACACAGCATTCCTCCAGGTAGACCCTCTCACAAAGGAGCAGCATATCATGGTAAGACCTTCCCTTCCCATCAAGGGATGAGTTGAGAATATGTTCCATCCACCCATCTCTGGCATGGCTCAAACTTCCGTGTTTACCAAGTGACAAGCCCATTTTCAATAGAGGCAGCCTGTGCACCACTGTCTCTAGAAACTCAGGTCCTGCTGAACCCAAATGTCCCATCAGTTTCCTCTGGTAGCCTGTGTGGCCTGTAGAAAGGAGCTGGGGAAATTCCTGCTGATGCCTAGAATACAGGTGGATCTAGTCAGGCATCTGGATAGAAACAGGAACTAACTGCAACAGTTAGTGGGCTGAACTCAGAGCCATTTGGCTCATACCACTCATTAGCCCTGGCCATTAATGCTTTGCACTGAGAGTTGGGCTGTTCTAACTATATGGCTTGGACAGTGGGAACTGAGGGATGGATGACCATGAATCAGCCCTTGTGGAGTCAGGATATATGGAAAGACATTTGGGTCTGCCTGCAAGAAACTGAAGTGGTCTTCACTATCTGCCACATCCCGACTCATAAAGTCCTGACTCCTACTGGCAATCAGGAAGCCAATGCCCTAGCTCAGTATAAGCTCTAGCAACTGACTGTTCACTAGATAGTAGATTGGGTGCATAGAAAGAGTGGCTAACATAGTGCTTGGATGAAATGGCATATTGCTAGGGATGCTGGATTTCCTTTAAAATACAGTGACTTGGTAAATGCAGTAAAGCATTATTTTATGTGTTCTAAATAATGTCCAAGGCAACTGCCAAAGAATTCTGGGGCCATCATCCTAACTCGTGAGGGATTGGCAAACTGATTATACTGACACCTTCACTCTGAGTGAGGGTTCTAAACATGCTTTGATTTGTGTGAACAGTGTTGTCTAGCCTAACCCAAGTTTTCCCTTGTCCCCATGCAAACCAGGCTGCTACTATTAGAGGATTAGAGAACCTGAGTACCATGTGTGGATAATCTTAGCAAACAGATAGTGATTGGGAGGTCACATTTCAAAGGCCATAATATGCAAGACGGAGCAAAAGAACATGACATTGAATAGAGGTTCCATCACCCCTATAACCTATAAGCAGCAAGGTTGGTAGAAAGGAAAAATGGAATATTAGAGCAGCAGATAAAAACACGCATTAACTGTGGGAACTAAAGGATTGCCCCAAGCTCTAATACACTTGAATGCTCATCTAAAATGGCCTGTTACCTCATCTTCCAGACTGCGGACCCTTGCCAAGACACACAAAAATGTAAAGGTATGGAAATGACCATTGCCCAGATCCTCACCAAGGATCAAGATGCTATGCTGCTGAGAACACCAAGCCCCAAGATGCCTGGGAAAGACATTGTCCACTGGAATTTGCAATGGGATGGCCCTCAGGATGAATGGGTTCCTTTGGATCCCTCGGTGAGGGGGAACTAATCAATTTCCACTGGGATCCTGTTGTCTGGCTGCAAGCCAGAATGAAACATGCACCACTGAAGAAGGGAAGAAGGTGGGGATCCTGGTCTGGCAAATTCGACCCCCTATCTGTCTTCTCATGCCTGACGGTGGTGCTTGCTTCAGCCAACATGTATGGTATGCATAACTAAGTCAAATTCCTAAAACTGTAGCCGTCTTAACATCTAAGGATCAGGCCACAAGTATAATTTTTAGAGAAGGAGAAGATCTTCCCATACAAGTTCCTATTAAATGTCTGTCTTTTTGACCTTAGACTTCTGCTGCTCCAGTGGTATCTGGTCATGGACTGGGTACAAGATGGAAATACCTTTCTGCACTGGGTCCCTTCATATGCCTGGCAAATGAATCAGTCCAACCTTTACATGGGAAAGATGCCCCTCAAGCTTAACAGGATTACCATGGTGGGTATCACCACTCCAGGGAAGGGACTGGAAGGCCTAACACAGTACATTAAAGAACAAGCTAGGTCTAGTACTCTCGATTCAACTGGTACCACCAATACTGATGCAGAAACCTGGCCTGTGATACACACCTGGTCTGTGTATCAATAACACTGGGTGTAGGTAGTCATCTTCTGTCACTCAAATTATACACCCATTCCTAAAAATACCACTAGTAGAGCCATGGGTGGCTACAGTCAGATTTGGGATGGGTTCATCTGGCTTATAGACATTTGAGTCTTGGATTATAGACATTTGAGTACCTGGATACCCCTATTTTGGAAACAGAAGAATCAATTTAAACATAACTGGCTCAATTTAAACATACTGGAGTATGGGATGGATGTCACTGGCCCATTCTGTCACATTACAGGATAGTGACTAGTTTGGCACTAAATGGTCACACTGCCTAGGTATTTCTTGGGTAGTCCCAAATGGGGCCACATGGGTGTGTGACACAAATCTTTGGCCATGGCTTCCACCTGGTTGGTTGGGCCACTGCAACCTAGGTTTTTGGTGGGCACAGGGGAGAATCTGCCCCATGGTAGTGAAAATTGCCAACCTTCCTCATTGCAAGGTCAAATGGGCATATTCTGTTTTCCACTGGTATAATCATTTGGCTGCCGTCTTTGTCCCCTCCAATGACCTGGAGGACCAGTACACAGAAACCCTTACTACATTCACCCAACAAGGCTTAAATGGTAGCCAGCAAGCCTGTCTTTACTGAACACTGAAATGTCTTTAATGAGAAAAGCTGTCCTCCAAGATAGAATGGCTTTGAACGTTACTGCTGCCTTGCCAAGAGGTACCTGTGTCATTATCCAAAAAAGAAGGTTGTGTGTTCATACCTGATGAGTATGCTAATGTGTCATCTTTATTAAATCATATGAGACACAGTGAATGTTCTGAGTGATCTGACACCCAGCTTAGGGGACTTAGTAAATCAATGGTACAGATCACGGGGCTTTTGGTGGAAAAAGCTGTCACTGATTTGGAGCATCGTTGTCTTAATCTGTGTTTTCTCTTGCATGTAACTGTATTATTGGTATGGTATCTTCCTCCAGGCAGCCAGATAGCTGCCAAAGGAGTCACCTCCATGCTAATGAAACACCTTGCAGACTGCTCAGGTCACACTATAGAAGAGGGGGGCTTATGAGATTATAAGAGCCAGTATAGAGGAGTGAAGTGTTGGAGGAAGTCATTGACAGGATGTGACCACTGATTGACTGAGGAGCTGGACCTCCACAATGGGAGGCTCCTGTCTTTGGAATGTTCCCTCTGCTCACTGTTCCCATAGGTGGAGCTATTTTATTTTATTTTATTATTTTATGATTTTTTTAAATGTTTATATATTTGTTTTGAGAAAGAGAGAGAGAGAGTGCGAGTGGAAGGGCAGAGAGAGAGAGGGACAGAGAGAGAATTCCAAGCAGCCTCAGCTCTGTCAGTGCAGAGCCCTACGTGGCCTCATAAACTGTGAGATCATAACCTGAGCCAAGCTAACTGAGCCACCCAGGTGTCTCTAGGTAGAGCCATTTTAAAAGGACAGAGCCTTGAGCATGTGTTGCTAAAGCATCTGGAGGGGACAGATGAAGAAACCCAGTTAAGGCCTCTATACAGATTTTCACGATTCTGGAAGGCAGGTAAGGAGATCTGTTCATTTCACAGCAACACAAGAAAAATCTTATAAGGTCTCTTGCTTATTCAACCTGCCATCTACCAATCTGGAGTGGCTGGCCTGTTTCTTCAGTCTTTCCTTGGCCTCTATGAATGGGGGCCATTGTCATGTTTCCCCTGAGAAGCTGCCACAGGTGCAAACCAACAATACCAAGAACTCACTGTCCACTGTTCAGTTTTTTAACCCAGGCTCATCTATGGTTTGCAAATGATGCTGAGTGCCTTTTCAAAAAGGCGAGGATAATTCTTGTATTATCCAGATATCTTTCCTACGTCTCTGCAGATATTTAATTGGCATTGAACCTTGTTGCCATTTTGAGGAACTATTGTGCTACTCTTGTGATGAATACTGTTATGGGGTCTGCTTAGTTTTATATGCCTTAGGATATAATTGGATAGTGTAATGGCCGTACTTAAGAATTCACTTTTATGTATATTAAAGCCCTTTGTAAAGTGCTATGAAATGACAACATAATTGTTATTGTTGTTACTCCCAACAACTGTTGAGCTGGTGCTTTCTCAGCATAGTCACCATGAGGAAATACCTGGATGATTGAATCCATTCTTTGTTTTTAAAATGTCCATTGACTTGAAGACTTTTTCCAAGGACAGGAAGCAAAATTTAACACATGCTTCTAGGCTTCTCTTTATATTCTCAAGTATGGTTTACAGCCTCGAGCATGGTTGTCCTTTCTGACAGAACTATCTTTTATCTTCTTTTACAAGATAAGATTGATCTATTTTTTAAGCTAATACACCACTGGCTTTATATCCTTGTTGTAGGCTTTGGGAATAGGTTAAAGCTTCTTTGTGTTGCATTATTTACTGTGCAGCTACATTCAAAAACACAATGAGTATACTGAAATTAATAACTCTAGAAGGGTGCAAAGTGATAGTATTCACAGTCAATTATAGAGATGATCTATTACATTAATATAATACTGATGCTATTTGAATGCAATATAGTGAAGAAAAATAAAGTGGCAGGCTAACAGAATTTCAGTTTTTGAGTTCAGAAAAAAAAAGATAAATGGTTAGCGGGCGTGGTTTAATAGCTCAAATGCATATGCTATAAGCTCTTATTTCAATGTCAGCTCTTAGCAAAGGACACCAGGCAAATGAACTTGAATATCCATTTGATTTACTAGCTTCTTAAAAACTGAATAAGGTTTTATATACTTTTTTTTTCTTTTTTTTTTTTATTTAAAAAAAAATTTTTTTTTCAATGTTTATTTATTTTTGGGACAGAGAGAGACAGAGCATGAATGGGGGAGGGGCAGAGAGGGAGGGAGACACAGAATCGGAAACAGGCTCCAGGCTCTGAGCCATCAGCCCACGAACCGTGAGATCGTGACCTGGCTGAAGTCGGACGCTTAACCGCTTAACCGACTGCGCCACCCAGGCGCCCCAGGTTTTATATACTTTGTAAAGACTTACTAGCAAAAAGGATAAGAGGTGGGTTTTAATGGAGGTAATCCTCTAAGAAATTACTCCTTAGCAGTTAGAAATACAGAAAAGCAAGATAAACTTGAAATAAGCCTGATAAATCCTATCTTACTCATTGTCTTCACTTAATAGGTACCTTGGATCTGGATTAAGCTGTGCTCAGTAGTCACCCTGAGAAATTCTATTCTTTATGTATTCTCTTTCCACTCCTCCTCTTACTGAGCTAATGATTACTTTCCCACCTACAAGTTATGAATGAAGTCACTGAATGCAATTATTGGGTGGAGTTCTTGGATTAAGATCACGGATCTTTAATGAGCCTTCATGGGTTCTATAAATGGTGATTCTCAGACCTGCCTGGGCACCAGAATCACCTATGTAGCTGGTTAGAAATACACATGCCTGGGTCTCCTTCCCATAGGATTGATTCTATATATCTGGGAGGACCCAGGATAGATGTAGTTTATGATACAGAAAGAGGATTGAGAACCCTTACCATTGTTGGTTCAAAGTACATTTTATTAAGAGGTGGGAATTGAAAAAAAATAAGTATGCTATAACATTAATTTGAATTTATATTATTTTATATATTTTATGCATGTAAATTAATTTTTATTATGCAAATATACCTGTATACTGTAGAAGCATAAGAAAATACAGAAGCACAAGGAGAAAAATAGTTTCAAATATGACCAGTTAATTTTTTAAAAAAATACAGATGGACACTGAGATTTTAATTATAGTAAGAGAGCATTTGCCTTTGAAATTAGAAATAGAAATCCAAGGGTGCTCCATAGAGTTGTTGTTCTTGTGTATTGGTTGATGTTCTTTACTGAAGGGAAGATCTTATCCACCCTTTATTCCTCCACCCAAATATTTTTCTGTTTTTTTTTTCTTCTTCAAGGAATTGGCATATATGAGTTTAATAAGGGGGTTCAGCAAAGCTAATAATGGGCTTTTGGAATTATCAATTCTGGAGACAGACCAAGCTGGTGATGGCAGTTCACTCATTCATTCATTTATCTATTTGACAAATATTTATTGAGCACCTACTAATATGCCAGACACTATGCTATGTGTTGGGAATATTCAATCCCTTCTCTGGAGAAACTTCAGACTCTAGTATAGGATATAGACAGACAAACAGACTGTTTATGTGCTGTGAAAGATATGTATAGGATGTGTTTAGTACACAGATAAGAGATATCTAAATCAGAATGGAGAGTCAAGGGGGATGAATATAAAGAAGGGACATAAAAGCAGGGTATCAGAGGTAGAAGACACAGATGGCCATTTAGAGATTTTGGAAATCTTCATCAAGGGGTCTTCACTTACTCTATTTACTGGGAAAGCTCTTCTTTGTTCCCTGATACTATTATTATTTTTTGTAGTATTTTGGTTTCTTTTTCATAGATGCATTATCTTTTATTGTATTTCCAAAGGTCTCAATAATATTTTGAAATTTTCTTTTCCTTGCATAGTTTGTTTCTTCTGAGAAGCATTTTCAGTTTTGTTTGTTTTGGTTCCCGTCTTTCACGGTAGAGTTCACATAGTTCTGAGAAGTCTCTTGCAATCTCCTGCCAGATGAATTATCTATCTGCCTGACTTTCAACTTCTGTGAAGGGCAGGGGGTAAGAACATTGGGGGTGCAGCACTCACAATGTAAACATTCACCAGGGAAAAGGGGTCACCCAGCTAATCTGGTTTTATAATGGTGGGATAACTGGTTCTTAAGATTTTCCACCAATTTTCATATTTTGACTTTATTTTCACCTACACCTCAGGCAGGGGTGGGAGTGGTGCAGTCACATGGTATAAATGAGGCTGCTTCTGAAAGCCCCCTTACCTGTTTTGCATTTGCCTTCCTGTGCCTGCTGTCAGTTACCATTTGTCAGGTATTTACTTTCTGGCTTCAAAATGTTTGTTATTTTTCTCTAACTCTGCTGTTCTCTTTGTCTTTGTAGCTTTGTGTCTTAAAGCAAAGCAAAACAAATAAAACACCACCATTATGAGATGGTTTCAGGAAGGGGAGAAAGTGAATTCATGTATTCTGTTTGCCTTTTGACCTGCACCTAAGTGCCTCGTTTTTGTAGGATACTGTGCTAAGAATTTAATTAATAATAATTCTAGGTAAAACAGGCATTATTATTGTATTACTTTTGCAGATTGGGGAACTGAATTTCAGAGTGATTAAGTGGCCAAAGAACAGACAAATGGCAGAGCTATGGCTAATAAGTGGCTCTCCAATCTGTGGAGTGGTTCACAAAGATGATAAGATTTTGGGCTAGCATTGCTTCACAGACAAGCTCCTTATCCTGTCCCTTATCAGGGTTAACCCTGATCCCAAACCCAGTTTTGGGGACTATGATAGTGAGGGCCTTGAAGAGAACATTGGTCGTGGTATGCCATGCGAGAGGCCCTGTTCCCTAAAGAGCTGACTTTTATCAGGTCTATCATTAGTATGGATTGGACTGTTTTCTGATACAAATTCTTTCTTTTAGGAACTTGACAAAGTTGCATTTTGATGATCTATTTTAGTATTTTGCTAATTATGAAACACAGACCACCTGCTTTCAAAATAAGGTGCTGGAATGGAGAATAATAGAGATGTAAATATGGTGCCTTTTATGGGCAAAAGCAGATTTTTTAGCAGCATGTTTTAAAAAATTAGAAATTTAACAGCTGTTTTGCAAAATAAGTGAAATGCTTCCATCTTGCTAAAGAATATGCACAGGTAATTAATTTTAAAGAAAAACTTGTGACCTCATTTGACAGTATTAGCATCACTAAATTAATTAATAAACTAATTTTGTCTGTCAAATTATCAACTAGATTCTGAACCTCTGTTCACTAAAAGCACTGCGTTTTTTTTTTTATGAGAAGTAAATATAAATTAATAAGACCAATTTTCTGATGGAGTTTGTGAAATTGACCTCATAGTTTTATGCACATAACTGGTATGGAGTGGAATATACATTACTTTTGTGGCAGGGGCACCTGGGTGGCTCCATCAGTTCAGTATCCAACTCTTGATTTCGGCTCAGGTCATGACCTCAAGGTTCGTGGGATTGAGCCTCACATCAGGCTATGTGCTAGGGGCCTGCTTGGGATTCTCTTTCTCTCTCTCTCTGTCCCTCCCCTGCTCACACACCCTCTCTCTTAAAATAATAAGCTTTTTAAAACAAATACACTTTGTGTTAGATGATTTTTTCCAAGTGTAGGCTAATGTAAATGTTCTGAGCAAAATTGAGGTAGACTATATTAAGCTATGATGTGTGGTAGGTTAGATGTATTAAGTGCATTCTTAAAAATGTTTTTTAAAATGTTTATTTGAGAGAGAGAGAGAGGGAGAGAGAGAGAGGGAGAGAGAGAGGGAGGGAGGGAGGACCGGGGGAAGGGCAGAGAGAAAGGGAGACACAGAATCTGAAGCAGGCTCTAGGCTCCCAACTGTCATCACAGAGCCCAATGCAGGGCTCAGACTCCCAAAACATGAGATCATGACCTGAGCTGACATCAGTCGTTTAACCAACTGAGACACCCAGGCCCCCCAAATGCATTTTTGAAGTATATTTTCTACTTATGATGAGGTTATTAGGTTGCAATCCCATTGTAGTAAAAGAAGATCTGTACACCAAATTTAAAATACGAAAGAGGAAAAAGAGATACTTGAAAAATCCTATCTCTTCCTACCAGCTTTCCATAATTTCCATGCAAATTTCTTAGCCAGCAAGCAGTTTACCTTGGCCCCTTGTGTGGACAGAATGTTTTTGTCCTCGCAAATTCACCTGTTGAAGCCTTACCCCATGATGCCATGGTGTTTGGAGATGGGGCCTTTCAGAGGTAATTAGGTTTAGATTAATTCATGAGTGGTGAAAGTCTTATGTTGGGCTTAGTGCCTTATAAGAAGGGAAAGACAGACATGAGACAGAGACAGAGACAGATTGCCATCTCTTGCTCATGTAAGTTGACAGAACAAAGAAGAGAGCTTTTACCAACACCTTATCATGCTGGTACCCTGATCTCAGACTTTCAGCCTCCAGAGCTGTGAAAAAATAAATTACTGTATTTAAATCATCCAGTTCATGCTATTTTGTTATGACAACCCAAGCTGACTAATATACCTCTCAACATTGCTTTTTGTCTTGTTCTAAGCTTCCTCTGTTCTCAGGGTAAAATATATCCCATGGAACCTGAAAAACTTCCTCTTCTCAACACTTGGTCCCAAATTTTGAGGAGAAGTTTTGAAAATCCAGATTTTTGTATATACTTTTAATATAGAAATATTATCCTATAATATATTTCTATAATGGTCTACCCACAAACAGCACGTTTACAAATTTTGTTTCATTGTGTATGTCCTATCTCCTAAGATCTTTGAAAGGAGTGTCTGTGTCTTATTTTTATTCTATCATTCCCAAAGGTCTAAAATGATTGATAATCAAATACTATATATTCTAGTTGATGCTGAATCTACTTGCTCTTTCTCTGATCACTTTCTTCTTTAGGTAAATTATTCTCAATTGCATGCATTCCTCCATTCTTCTTCAATTTTTTTTTTTTTTTTTAATTTCATTTGGTTCTCCTTTGATTTTTCAGATTTTGGTGAACTTCTGTTTGGAAACATAGTGGGGGAAATCTGATTGTCCATACTCACCACTTTTTAACCATATATACACTTTTGGACCCAAAGGTGGGAGCATTGGTGTGGAGATCTGTTTTCACACGAGGGCCTTGAATTGTACATAGAAAGGAATTGACAGATACTAAATATAAGGAAGGTTTTCTCCAGTTCTACATTTTCTTTCTGTTTTCATCACCCACTATCTTGATTGATATTTCAACAATAGTGCTGTGCTACTGCTCCGTGGTCCAATTTCTCTCGCTCTCAGTGGGAAGGCTTCTCTTTTATTTATCTATTTGTTCCTATTATGTAGAAATTAAGCTTTAAGTGGCTATACACCTGTTTATTCATTCTGAAAGTGGTATTGCTCACTGTTACTGGTTGTTTTTGATGCTAATACTGCTTCTTGCCTTGTTTTATTTGGAGTCCTGACATGTTTGCAGGTCTACAGTAGCTAATAAATAACAATAATGAATTCTTTACCAGTTCCTGTTCCTCCCTCACCACAATCTTCCTGGAGTCAAAATGGAGAAATGTTTTTTCCTCTCTGGTTTCATATTTGTTATCTACAAAGTGTTCAATCAGGGTGTTTATAAAATGAAGTTAGTTGGCATTTCAATGATGTAGTGCTGATATGATTTTCTTATGATCTATTTTTCTGCAACTGTTTTCCATCATTTGATTTTTAGGATACATAATATGTTTTCATAGTTCAAAATTATATAAAAATGCAAAAAGATACACAGTGAAAAGCTTTATTCCCACCTTTTCTTCCTGTTTCCCCAATCCCTACCTCCAAAGTCTGCAGGTAACTACTTTTATTATTTTTTTTATGTATCCTGCCATGTTTATATACATGTAAGTAAATACAAATATAAATATTCTTATTTCTCCTTTTCTTAAACACAAGTTACCATTGTTCTACTTCTTTTACTTTACACTTAACATTACATCTTAGAGCTTTTGCCATATCAAAATACAGAGTTCCATATTGTTTTGTACAGTTGAATGGTATTTCAGTTGATGGAGATGCCATCCTTTATGTAACTAAGGTCTTACTGATGAACATCTGGTTTGTGTCCAGTGTTTTACTAGGACATGCTACCTCCCAACAAAAAACCTCTAACAGACCTTATGTCATATGTATCCAAACAGATTTGTGTATTATAAATCCCCAGAAGTGATAATAATGAGGTCCAAAGGTCTATGCATTTGTGATTTTGTCAGATTTTGGTAAATTGCCTTCCACAGAAGTTTTACCAGTTTTCAGCAGTAATGTGTGAGAGTGCTATTAGAATTCTCAATTTATCAAGCTTTTGGATTTTGTCAGTGTGACGTGTAAATGTAGTATCTCAGGACAGATTTAATTTGCATTATGAAAGTAGTTGGACATCTTTCCCTATGGTTAAAGCCATGATTATTTCCATTTATGTATGAACTATATGTTGATAGCCCTTACCTATTTTTTCACTGGGTTGTTAGATTTGTTTGACAAGAATAAACATTTATCTCTACTATAAAAATAAAATTGCTTTTTGGTGATTTGAGATTTTTCTTGGCTTATGGTGTTTTTCTATGCTTTTTTTTTTTTTTTAGTATTCATTCACATTTATTTATCTTTGTATGGATTTGGGGTTTTGAGATACAATCGAAAGCCCTTTCCTACAAAAGCCCTGTCTCCTGCCCCCAGCATAAAGCACAATTTTCTTCCACCATTTTATAATTTAATTTTTTTAACATTTAAATTTGTGTTTGATTGGTTGACTCATTCATTAAACAGATGTTTATTGAGTGTCTCTCATGTACTAGGAACTATTTTAAGTACTTGGAATGTATCAGTGATCAAGACAGACAAATATCTTTGCCTTTATAGAGTTCACCTTCTAGTGGAAGGAGAGAGATTAGAAACAACAACAACAACAACAACAACAACAAAATGAGTAAATTACATAACATGTCAGAAAGTGATGAATGCTGTTAAAATTAAAATAGGAATAATCCATTGAGAGGAACCAGAATACCAAGTGGTGGGTATAAGTTGCAATTTCAAATAAGGTAACTGGTACAGACCTCATTGAGAAGGTAACATCTGAGCAAAGGAAGGAAGGGAGTGACTTTCATGCAGACCTCAGGGAGATGACAGTGCTAGGTTGAGGCTCTAGGTCAGGAACATTCCTGAGAAAGAGCAAGAAGCCAGTGGGACTAGAGTGAAATGAATGGGAAAGAGAATAGTTGAAGAGGAAATCAGAGCTTTCTAGACCCTTGTAAAGGCTTTAGCTTTTACTTGAGTGAAATGAGGAATCACTGAAGAGGTTTGAGCAGAATGATAAATAGGGCATATTTTAAAAGGATAACATCAGGGGATGTAATTATTGAGAAATTAGGGGAAATAATCCAGTTCATACAATAGGTCAGCAAAAATGAGGAGTAATTAGTGATGTAGTCTGATGACAATAGGTTCAAAACTGGGGTGTTTAAGGAAGGAACAGTCTGAAAGCAGCAATAAGAACTGAGGGTGACCTCTATCACTCAGCTCACTGATAGCCTGGTGGCACTAGAGTTATGGGTCAAAACCAGCCATCACTTGAGAGAGCTGTAGAGAATGCAGGGTCCACTGGGCAGAGCCAGGTTTCAGTTAAGTGAAGAAGGTGAAGGAAGAGGATTTTGCTGTTAACAGAGCAAGGAATTTCAAAGGGTGGAGTAGAAGAATTTTGGCCACTGGATGGCCTGGGAGAATGAGACAGAGAAGGGAATGTAGGGATTCTGTGACTGGAGTGTGGGTATTCTGAGTGTGGTGGTAGTCATAAATAGAGATGCTTCATGAAGTAAGTTGAGAATGTTTAAGGCAGGGAGCCCCTTCAGGACTTAAGAGTTTAAACTGGAGAGCATGGGGGTGGGTGAGTTTCTGATCAAGGGGATAGAGGCCCTAGGAGGTATATTTTTAGACTCTTGACCTTGATTGGACCGAAGGTGGTCTTATATTCAGAATGTGCTATGTCTTGACTCCACGTGGATAGTCTTGAGGGCTTCTGGGGAAGCAGAGTGTTACACAATATATTGGCTGCTTCACTTCTGATTATTAGGAAATTAATCCTGTTTTAATGTGTGAAGTGTGGAACCAACTTCATTTTTTTCTAGACAATTACCAACTTGGCTCAAAACCTTTTTTTGGATAATC